CTGCTTGGCCTGCTGTGTTCGTCCAGCCCTGCACCTTTAGTGTTAGGCGCTTACCCTATGCAAATACCCAAATTCCCAATAGAACAATTTGTTGTTAAACCATCTTTGAGGATCAAAAACTGATTTTTTTTTTGTTCTTTTGGTTTCCATCGAGTAAGAGTCTACTAATGTGCATTCTGACTCTTTTGGCATGCATTGAGTGATCACTGAAGTCAAGCAAACCCCTTCACCACTTCCTTACCAATGGTAATCCTAACTGTCTCATGCTCCACTTCCACTTTGAACTGTGCTATCAATCACCTGTCTTTATCTCTCTCCAAATATTGCTGTTTTGGAGAAGGGAATTGGATTTCTGAAAATAGACTATGAATTGTAACACCTTCCCATTATAGTTATCTTTACCCTCTTGTGGCTTTTGTTGCACTTGGTTTCTTCTTCTACTCCTCAGGGCCTCTTAGCACTTTCTCCTACATGAATCTCACCCTCCTCCACTGTCTTTGATTCCACAGGACTGGGAAGGTATTCTAGAGAGCACACTTCCTTTCAGTGCTGGTTGCCAGCTTCAGATTCCGAAAATGATTATTTTTGTGGAATGCTTCTGTCTTCTGAAAGTTTCCAACATCTATGTGTATAGTCAGTTTTTTTTTGGACTGAAGTGACCAAATTGTTTGGCTTTGAAGAGGATGTTTACATATAGACGTGTAATTTTATGTACATTGTCCAGAGCTTTACGCAGCTCAAAGATTTCTCTTAATGTGGCAGGATTGCATTTCAGCTGCAGCGGCTGTTATGGTTCAGCTGTGTATATTAAGCTGATGAACTACAAGTTGCAGAATTTTAGAACCAACTTCAGGAAAAGTTATTTGTAAAGAAATCTGAGCATCCTAAAGAATGTCACAATTAATGGATCACTTCTTTGGCAAATATAGTGGCCAGTTTACGTGCAAATGAGAATGCTTGGATAATTCTCTTTTGGTCATCTTGAATAAAGGATAAACGTTCATCAATACATTGAGAGGTTCTTGATTTATATGAATATTGTTAATTAAATCTTTATATCTACCTTGTAATGTCTCTTCCAAAAAAGAGTAGAGCTAACAATGCAGCTGTTTTCAGTTCCCAAAGTGTTGGTCTGGAAAATGCAATCCAAACCTTGAGTCAAGCTGAAGTTGGAATCTTTTGACTCTGCAAGCACAAATCAGCTGCTTGTACTACCCAAACTGCATGAATGCTTGAAGCTCACTCTCTTGCACCTCACTTGTCAGTTGCTGGCACCACAAACAGCATTGTAAGAACATTATAATTTTAGCTGAAACACTAATTATACTTGCAGAAAAACATTAAATTGTGTTCAGACATAGAGTGAATTATTGTTGGTATCTTGGCCGTAATAAAGTTCATTTAATACTTTGTGTCAATATATTCTTTTGCTTTTTGAGCTAACATATTAACATTTTAATTACAGGATTCGAAAGCATCTTGGAAGGGCTTTATGGACCAAGGTTACTGAGAGACCTCAGTTTATTTGATGGTAACATGTTTTTTTGAATATGACCATGGGAACAAATTTAGTTATTAGATGCAAATTAAAAATTTTGTGATTTATGCTGTAATGGAATTTTAATTGTTTTTGTGGGTCTGATTGGAAATGTAATTGCAGGTTTCAGTTAATTTTAAGAATTTAATAATTCAAGCTTTTTTGTTCTCTCCTTCCTTACTCACCCACCACTACCACTACCACCACTCCTGACCATGCTAATTTGCTTATTTCCTAAGTGATATCTAACTTTTGATGCTGGCGCTTCAATTAACTTATTGATTTATTGGAAGTGTACCTTATTGGGAAAATGCACAAGTATCTGATTCTAGTTTGTATGCATCCAACTGGTAGCATGTTTTGTCTTCTCCACGTGCTATTTCCTAACTATCCATTAAAAGGATAATATACTAAGAGCCTTTTTACTGTGATGCCCTCTTTCAGTGTAGTAGCAATTATATTATGTAAGCATACAAATGAATCAGTATTTCTAAAACGCGATTCACATTTTGTGTGATTATTTCCATCTTGTTGCTATTCCTTTTTGTTTTGTTCGCTCCTGGGACATGAGCATCATTAGCTCAGCCAGTATTTATCGGTCATTGTTAGTGGCCTTTGTGAAGGTGGTGGTCAGCTGCCACTTTGACTCTCTGCTGTAAGTAAAGCCACAAGGCACTTGGGGAGAAAATTGCAGAAATTTAACCCAGTGACACTGAATGGCAATACACCATACTTGCCTTAAATGGTTGGAGCATTGAGTATAAAATTTAGCAAGTCACATTGCAGCTATATAAAACTTTGGTTAGGTCATATTTGGAGTATTGTGTGCAGATCTGGTCACAATACTAAGAAAGATGTGGAGGCTTTGGAGAGGGTTCAAAGGAGATTTACCAAGATCTTGTCTGGACTGGACTGTGTTAGTGGACAAATTTTAATTGTTTGCGATAGTGTCCGAGGTTGAGGCATGACCTGATAAAATGGAGAGGCATGGATAGGATGGGTAGTTGGTTGCTTTTTTTTCAGGGTGGAAATGTTAAATACTAGGTGGATATGGATTTAAAATGAAAGGGCGAATGTTTAACAGAGATGTGCAAGACACTTTTTTTTTAAAACAGAGGATGGTAGGTACCTAGAATGCATTGCCAGGAGAGGTGGTGGAAGCCCTTACAATAGCATTGTTTAAGAGGCACTTAGATACCCAAAGGCAGGGATTAGAGGGATATGGACCCTGTGCAGGCAGGTGGTATTAGTTTAGAATGGTATGTCTGCACCAACCATAATGAGCTGAAGGTCTGTACTGTTTATGTTCTGTGTGACTAGCTTGGGAGGGAACTGGTTTATGTGCCGTGCTTGTCGTTCTAGATGGTAGTCGTCATGAGTTTTGGTGAAGTTGTACAGATGACACACATTGCTGCTATTGGTGGTAGAGTGTGTGGATAAGGTGCCAGTCAAGCAGGTGGTTTTGTCCTAGATGGTGACCAGCTTTTTGAGTGTTGTTGGAACTGCACTCATCCAATAAACTGGGGCACGTGCCATCAAACATCTGACTTGTGCTCTGTAGATAGTGGACCAGTATTTCTACCCACTGCCCCAAGATTTTAACAGTGAGGATTCTGTGATGATATTGCTGATGATTAGAGTGCCTCTTATTGATGGTGGTCATTGCCTGGCATTTGTGCGGCATAAACGTTAAATGTCACTTTTCGGGTCTTGCATTTGACGTGGCTTCAGTACTTAAACTTTCCATTTCCTTTTTCCTGATTTATCTTGAGGCAAAACAGTTTGTACTGTGGTGCACATTCCCACAGTTCCCCAAAATTTCTACACTTTGTGCATGTAGTGATTTTGTGCTGTGTACAGGAATTTTGCATAACTCATCATAATTCTGCATCATTCATATATAATTTTGTTACTAAATTTTTTTAAAAACATAACCTTTAGCATTTGGTATACTCAAGTGAAATGTAGTGATACTGAATTATAGTGATCTGGTCACTTGAGTCAGCTGATATCAGCTGAAAAAGCTGAGAGAAAGCTACATTTGTCTAGCTGTTACTCGCTTAATGAAAGGAAGAAATAAAACTTAAGACTCTGTAACCAAAGACTATCGGTTTTTGCAACCAGGTTTGGGGAGTCTTCAGCAGAGAACATATTCAATTCCAGAATATTTTGATTCTAGTTCATAAGGTAATTCTACCCCATGCCATTACTGTTGTACAAATAGTTTGCAGCAGAGTTAATTTGCTAGTATTATAAGGTCTTTGGGGTGAACAAAAAAATCTTGCTCTGGTTTGTAAGCCTTTGTAGAGATTTAGAAATGAAGCTCCAGCATCCTGCACTCCTCCTTGTAAATAGTGACAAGCACCAGGACTGTTCTGATGCAGTATTGTTTGAGATTTATGTAGTGGATATTTGGGACATACCAGTCAGGCAAATTACTTCATATGCCTTGAAAGCTTATGTGGCTAGTACTTGGGAGTTAGCCCTTGTTTAGCAGATGAAAATCATTTTGTTTTTGAAATGCGTTCTCAGTCAGTTGCAAAAGCTGCCAAAAATCCCAGCTTTTTGAAGTTGGAGATACTGCACCGGTAGGGCTTGAGTACCTCAATTTGATGTCAGCCCTTTTAGTTCTAGTACTTTGGGCTGTGCCAAAGCTGTCTTGAGTGAAGCCAAACCTAACTCACCTGTCTAGACAGGAATAGTATTCCTAATTGGTTGTAGGTCTGTCTGGATGCATGCGCTCCACTGGAAGACTTTTTTAGTCCCCACTTTAGTCTCCACTTTGTTTTAGTCCCAAGCCCTTGAACTGTCTTGGATGGAAGTGCTACCAAAGGGTTGCTTCTACTGTTTATTTTACTAAATTTTTTAAATGCCACGTATGGAAATGGAGTCGGAAATAAAAAAAAAAATCAGTCCAGTTGGCATATGTAAAGGAGCAAAAAACTTACGGTCTTTTGGGTAATGAAGGATACACAGCTGAAATTGAGATCCCTTTTAACACATGCTGACTTATTTGAATCAAGCCTGTATTATTTACAGAAGCAATTGCAACAGTGCAAACTTGGGCTGTGGATATGCTTCTATCATTTCAGCAACTGCTTGCTTTTTAATGTGAATGTTTGAACTGGGCATGAAGGAAACTAGTAACTGAATCCTGGAGAAAGTGATCAAAAGCGGTAACTATAAATTTTATTGAAGAATGGTGGTGGAGGGTTGTTTATCGGTGAGGCAATCCAAGGCCGGACTTGTACGGTTAATGGTAGTACCCTGGGAAGTATTGCCGAACAGAGAGACCCAGGGGTGCGGGTTCATTGTTCCATGAAAGTGGAGTCTCCGGTAGACAGGGTGGCGAAGAGGGCATTTGGCATGCTTGTCTTCATTGGTCAGTGCATTGAGGATGAGAGTTGAGATGTCACGTTGCAACTGTCCACGGGTATAGTGCCGGAAGATTGGAGACAGGCAAACATCATCCCTTTGTTCAAAAAAAGGGAATAGGATAACCCTGGAAATTACAGGTCAGTTAGTCTTTCTTCAGTGGTGGGCAAATTATTGGAAAGGGCTCTGAGAGATAGGATTTATGATCACTTGGATAGGCACAGTTTGATTCGTGATAGTCAGCATGGATTTGTGAGGGGTAGATCAAAGAATTCAGTAAGGTTTGTGAGGCACTAAGAGGTGACCAAACACATGGATGAAGGTAGAGCAGTGGATGTGGTATACATGGATTTAAGTAAGGCGTTTGATAAGGTTCCCCATGGTAGGCTCATGGAGAAAGTAAGGAGGCATGGGATAGGGGGAAATGTGGCAGAATGGATTCAGAATTGCCTGACCCTTATAAGACAAAGGGTGATAGTGGATGGAAAATATTCAACATGGTGCTCAGTTACGAGTGGTGTACCACAAGGATCTGTTCTGGGTCCTCTTCCATTTGTGATTTTTGTAAATGATTTGAATGTAGGAGTGGAAGAGCGAATTAGTAAGTTCACGGACGATATGAAGGTGGGTCGAGTTGTGGATAGTGCGGAGGGCTGTTCTAGGTTACAAAGGGACATTGATAGGATGCAGAGCTGGGCTGAGAAGTGGCAGATGGAGTTTAACCCTGAAAAGTGTGAGGTGATTCATTTTGGAAGGACAAATTTGAAAGCAGAATACAGGGTTAACGGAAAGATTCTTGGCAGTGTGGAGGAGCAGAGAGATCTCTGGGTTCATGTCCACAGTTCCCTAAAAGCTGCCACCCAGGTGGATAGAATTGTTAAGAAGGCGTATGGTGTGTTAACTTTCATTAATAGAGGGATTGAGTTCAAGAGCCGTGAAGCTGTCCTCCAGCTATACAAATGCCTGGTTCGGCCACATCTGGAGTATTGTGTCCAGTTCTGGTTGCCTCATTACAGGAAAGATACGGAAGCATTGGAAAAGATGCAGAGGAGATTTACCAGGATGTTGCCTGGAATGGAGAGAAGGTCTTATGAAGAATGTTTGAGAGCGCTGGGGCTTTTCTCTTTAGAACAACGAAGGATGAGAGGTGACTTGATAGAGGTATAGATAGAGTGGACAGCCAGAGACTTTTTCGTAGGGTGGAGGTAGCTATTACAAGGGGGCATAGTTTTAAAGTGAGTGGAGGTAGGTTCTGTACTCGGAGAGTGGTAGGGGCGTGGAATGCATTTCCGGAGAGGGTAGTGGAGTAGGCCTCGGGCATTTAAGCGGCTATTAGATAGGTGCATGGATGATAGTATAAGGTAGCGGTGGAGGTTAGATAGACCTTTATGTTTATGGTAAAAGTTCAGCACAACATTGTGGGCTGAAGGGCCTGTATTGTGCTGTACTGTGCTGTACTGTTCGCTGTTCGAATTGTGCAGGACATTGGTGAGGCCACTTTTGGAATATCATGTGCAATTCTAGTCAGCCTTCCATAGGAAGGATGTTGTTAAACTTGAGAGGGTGCAAAAAAGTTTACGAGGATGTTGCCAGAACTGGAGACGTTGAGCTATGATGAG